CAATATCACTTGTGTCCTAGGGTATGACATCTTGTAGTTATTGGGAATGATGCCCTATGCTGTGTTGTGTGTCAGGGTTGTCCAGATTTGAAAAGAAGGGGCCATTCGGTTCGTCCAGCTAAAAAACATTGTTCAAGATGGTTCTATTGAACCCAGCAAGCACCAGATGTTCTAGTTCCATGATGCACACTTTTTACAATGAAGTTATTTGAATGGGCCAACAAAGTTTGTATATTCCTTCTAATTAATGTAATTCCCTAATTACAGATAATACTACTGTTATTACATCTTGCTTTGCATTCTTATTATTTCAGGTTTTTTTCCTGTACCTGTGAAGTTAAGCACTGCCACCATTAGAAAATAAAAAATCCTGATCTAATGCTGCACAAGATATGCTTTAACCACCCCTTGAATACACATACAAATGTGATTGATAATCCTATTGGACATTAGGAAGTTGCAGACAATTTGCTGTAGCAGTTATGAATAGTCATCAGTTTCTTGTTTAGCAAGAGATGGTGGTTGCTGGTAAAGTGAAAGGAAAGTGTTTTCTTCGCTTGCACAGCAGTAAAAACAGCTTTATTGACAGTATGTGAATCCCCTAATTTATCACTGGCTGCCTTTTCTTGTATTTTTGTGTCTTTCTTTATTGGATGTATCTAATATTTTTAGTGATCATTTTTTTTTGTTTTAAAGCAAATCCAACAGTACTAATCCAACAAATTTGTTTCTTTAGGCCTCTTAAATGTAAGATTTCTAGAGCATGTGGGTGAAAAGCTTCATACTGTATATTGCTACAAAAAGGCTTTACGAAAGTATACAAGGAATAGACTGTGTGGATTAATCAGTGAGTAGATTAAATATTCATAACCCCCAATTTATAATGAGTTTTGCCAAGAAAATACCAGAACATTTGGTATGTTTACAGTTCTTTGTTCTCTGGTACAGCTTTGGTGAAAAGAGTATTAACTCGGGTGCAATGGGTTAAACAAATATGTATTTACAATGGCAATACACACACTAAACTACACACAACATAAACATACAACAAGTTGAACTTTGTACAGATTTTCAAATAAGGTGTCCCTGAGGCATAACATCCTAACCACCCCCAAAAAACCCAGACTGTTACCAAGTATTCACATGCTCTAATATAAAGCCTACAAGGGCCAAAATAAAGCTACCTTCTAAACCAACAGACTATGACCTACTGTTAAATCTCTTTCTCTGTAAATCTGTATGTTACAAATTGAATGGGAAACCTATTTCCTGTTCTAAGAAATGCACCCATATACCAGGAGATGATGTTTGTAATAAGGGATCCTCCACATCAGAGTTTCTTAAAGTCAACAAAATAGCAAGCTCTCTTTACAAGGTTCAAACTCTGGTCTTTCTGGATGATCTGTACAAGGAGCTCTCGTCTTCAGTCTTCTTCTCCTGTCCTCTGTATGTTTCTCTCTCTTTTTCTTTCTCTGTACCGGCTTGTTTTTATGCTGTGTTCCTAGTCAGTTGATGACACTCAATGATTTACTAAGACAGGGCTGAATATCCATGATACATTGTGTATTTATCATTTATCCCTTTATTTAATGATTTTTACCCTTTTAGAGAAAGATAATGAGGAACAGCAAGGGCACTTAAATTACAAAAGGAGTAAAACTCGTAACTCCACTGTCTAGGGGATTATAAAACTTACTTTAGAGACAGGTCATTGTGGAGTTACATTTTTTTTCCTTTCACTTTCATACATTTCTGTACAAAACCCAAAAATTATTTTACTTAACATTTAAAGTTAGGCACCTAATATTCTAAAAAGAAGAAAAATAGTTCCTTTTTAACCAGGTTATGAAATATCTGCAACACTGTGTTTTATTAGGACTGATAAAAAAAGAAACCTTTTTAATCTGTTTATGCTCAGTGTTTAACATTAAGGCTCTAAGCTGTTAGAAATTCCTGGTAGCTGATGTTAATGTCAAATATGTCTGAGATAATTATGTAGTGATTACAACACATTTCCCATGCCTACAGATGATTTGCAATCTTGTAGCTCTCTCACATTCAGCACATCACTTAATGTTAATAATTAGGACTGTGTGAGTCTGGGGAATTAATAAGATAACACCAATGTTTCATATTCCGTCAAAAATAAAATTATGAAAATGGGGGGGAAAAATCATATTTCTTGAAAAAATTTTCCCACAAGAAAATTACTATATCCACTGGAAAGGGGGCTAAAAATATCGTGATGAGAAAGTCACTGCCTTTTGATGTGGAGTTGTGCAGAATGGTAAAAAGGAATTTAGAACATTAAGATTCTGAGCGTATAACAGCATCCCGGCCGAAACTCTGAGTCCTGGCTATTACTGGGGATAATGGGATTGTGTGGTGTGTGATTGTGTGATGACGTCTGTGGCAGGTAAACGAAGCAGGGAATGGACAGACCCCCAGGGGCAGGGAGAACTAATGCAATTTAGCATAGCCCTCCCTGGAGCTCTATCAAGTATAAAGGGATGCAGCTTGACAGGAGCAGCTTTTTAAATCTTACCAGCTTAAAATAAGAAGCCGCTCAGTGACCTCCATTCCATATATCGTGATCCGTGACAGAGTTCCTGTAGCCATCAGAAAAAATGTACAACCTGCTGTACGTGTTCTTATCTTCAAGACTGGATGCCACAGTTGCGTATACGTTTAAAAATATGAGATGATTTTTTTCTGTAAGACAGGAGGAAACAATTTCGAATGTGTTTGTTTCTTCTCTCTCTCAGGCCTGCAAATCATTATCAGTGTGTGACTCACACTGGGCAACTCTTCTGGGTGGAAAAAGACCACCTTTATCATATTATCACCGTTTCACTTTCAGTAACAACAGCAATTTGCTGTCATTTAGAAACAAGGAATATCTCTCTTCAGAAGTGAGGCAGCCAATGATAAATTTGATTGCAAAAGAGCTGGGAGTGAAGACACTACATTATGGAATTTTTTCTTTTAGTATGAGCTACTAAAATTGTTGTATTCTAAAAATGCAGACTTTTTCAAGATGAGAAAATTCAAGGAATTAGTATGCACCATTATTTGTAATGCTTATATTGTATTAAATTGAAAGAGATTTGTAGAATACTGCCACCTAGTGACATTTTGATGAGATGCTGTTTACAGCACAAAGCTGTGTTTTCTACACTTTTCAATTTAATCACAGGGACACCACGGGGATTCACCAACAGTTTGATTCAGTTAATTTGTGTTATTACCTTTAAGTTCTAGAGGACCAAACCATTGATGATTTAGTTAGTTTAATGTCTCTCCAGTATAGAGAACCTGCTTTCTGCTGAATGAATCAAGGTACTGGGGGATTGGTGAAGAAAAGTACACTCACTCAAAGCTGTGTTGTAATTTAGATGGGAGGCAGGGGATTGAAAAGACAGATCCCAAGGAATCAGTCTTTTTTTGCAGCGGCAGTATATGCTGTGAATGCAAACCAGTTAGAGAGAGTGTCTGTCAACCAAAAACCACCAGTCTCGAGCATTGAACCAGCTGCAAAGTATGAGTTTTTGCCCTCTTTCAGTGGAGGTTTTTAGGCTCTGCCTTGTGCAATCATTTCTCTACATCTAATACCCAACCAGAAGCCTGCTATTGTATCAGTCAGGGTTTTGTTGTCACATTTCATGCACCTGTCTAAACGGGAAAGTAAAATTAGACCCTCATATTTTTGTAGTGCTTGCCTGGCATTGTAAAACATGAAAGGCAGTAAACTGTTTTTATTTCAAGCAATCTTTCACACTGCCTCTCAGGGAGAGTCTCAGTTTGTTATGTGAAACAGAAAGAAATGTATCTACATTTCACAGTCTTTTTCAGTGTAATTATATATAAAAAATTCACAGGATGGGCAGACTGTCAGTAAACACTGAAGTCCTGCACTGGCTTGTTCAATCCTCTAGGGGAGATCCGCTGTACAAATTCAGAGAAAGTAAGAAGAGATGCCTCCTATTTAATGGAAATGTGAAAAATGTTGCTTCAGAGAAGTAGGATACTGGACAAAGATTATCTGGGGAAAAACATTTGATTTCAGACAAAGAGCATAGGGTCATTATGGGAGAAAAGCTCAAAAGAACAGCCACATTCATTTCTATTTATATGCTTACTTTAGATCAATCTCAGTGCCTAAGAGCTGGGATTAAAATATTAATTTAGATGTGGAAAAAAATATTTTTGACTATAAGAGTGTGTAGTTTGTTTCAACCAGCCAATTTTAGAGAATATTTGGAGTGAAACCGCAACCTGTAGGGTCAAAGAGAGCCACTCTGGGCTTGAGCAGATAATTAACTGGCTATATTTATGAGAAGAATTTGATTTGTTCCACGTCTTTACAGAAAATGGCTAGATTGTGGCTGTTTGGGAGAGAGTGTGTAGGGCCATTATTTGAGTTACAGTTGGAGCTAAGCATCCACTACTTCAGGGGATGCAAATAGCACTTTCTAAATGCATGGCAAACATGTTAATATTAAAGTAGCAATTAATGGTGTATTGATCAAAGACACAATTGAATGACTTCAATTGATATCCATGCGGTTGAACATTAGTATCTCCTGCCATGATACGTTATTTACTTATTACCGTAAAATGTATTTAATTCTTTAGGTATTGACACCAGAACACTCGTTACTGTGCTTTTCATTTATACTGGGTTATAAGGCGTTTGTAAGTGTCACCCAATTTGGGTCATACAGATAATTCACTAGGTTTTTAGAACAATTCGAGTACATCCTTACTGTTAAACCTGACCTACAGAAATGGTTGGATTGTGGCGGTCCACGCCCAGTGACTCAAATCATCATTAACTTGGCAATGAGTTGCGTATTCACTTTTTGGGTTCTGCTCATCTGCCGGAATGTTTGAAAGCTGGTGAACTCAAGACTGTTTTTATTTTGTCTGAAGCTGAGCCCGGGGGGGGGTTTGTGGGAGCGGAGAAGTGGCTGACTGGGTGTGCTGTGTGCGGTTCACAGGTGTGGGACGGAGCCGGAAGTGGGCGCCTCTTACGTCGCTGCTCCTCTCACACCGAGGCGGTGCGGGATGCGTGCTGGGCTCCCGGAGGGAGACACGTCCTTAGCGGCTCTTTTGATTCCACGGCACAGCTGACGGATGTGGAAACAGGTGAGTGGGACTGATTGACAGGCCACCGGCTAACTGTTACATTCTCCAAATTGAGTGTTCGAAATGACAAAAACAGCGAAGTATAGAAAAAGAACTATGTCTGTGTGCAAAATAAAATACAGTTGTGCCACGCGATGGACTGCGACGTATCCTGCCTTGCGCCTGTGACTTGCTGGGATACGCTTCGGCTCCCCTGTGACCCCATATTAGATTAAAGTGGTTAGAAAATGTACGTACGGTTTGAAAATGTTTGGATGGATATTGTAACGCTACGGGGTTCAGGCGGGCGCCCTTGCTGCATCAGGTCGGCCCCCCACCGTCGGGGGCTCGAACCCAGGACTCTGGCATCACTCAACAGGGACCCAGCCTGGTGAGCTAAAGAGAGATCTCTTTACAGCCCAGCAGCTGTCGTCCTGCTATTACAGGGAAGGGTGGTGACGTCACCGCTCTGGTAAGCCAGCTCTTACACAGTACCTGTCGGCCGTATGCATTACACTGTAATATAGTTCCTAAATATTGTAACGATCGTGGGCTTCGGTACGGAATGGAGCACGGATGGGACAGGATAGTGGTTACAGCGCTGCGCCTACACTAAAACACAAACACACGAAGGGAAGAGACTGTCTCCCAGTCTCCTCCCCACTATATACAGTCCCGTAGCCCTGCCCCCAGGCGCTGTTCTCAGCCCGCCTTGCGTGCGCATGGCTTAAGCGCCCCGTGTGGCTCTACAATATTGTAACGCTCACGGGGTTCGCAGACAGAAAGAAACAGGCCGGAGGCTCTGGCACAGGTTGGCAGGACATTCATTAAAGACGCTGAGGGGGGTTACACACACAGAGACAGGGATATACACCTACACAGACACAAGAAGGAAGAGGGCGTCTCCAGCCCTTGTCCCACTATATACGGGTGGGTAGTCCTGCCCCTCAGCCGCCGTTCCCAGCTTGCCTTGTGTGGGCATGTCTACAGTGCCCCACGTGAGCGCTACAATATGTAGCAAGCTCAGTGAAGTCCAGCTGATTTAGTTGGCCGCCATTAAGAGTGAAGAGAAAACTGAAGCTTAAGTGTGTTGGATGACTATGCTTTGCACAATAAGTCTTAGTTGGCAAATGTTTGTGAAAGTTCAAGTAGGCAGCTGCGTCAGCATGCTTTGGCTACAAAGGAACAGGTAATTGTTTCTTCCATGCTGAAAGGAAAAGAAAAAAGAGACAATATTTCAGCTGTGGAGCCTTCTTCAGGTGTGAAGAAGGCTTCCTGAAGGAGGCTCTACAGCCAAAAACCTTGTGTCTTTTCTTTTCCTTTCAGCACGGAATAAATGTTTGTGAATATTGCTCTGGTAAATGAAGTGCTTTATATTTTGTGTTAAAAGTACTTTGCATGTGCATTTACTGCTAATAAATAGTCAAGGTCAAATCCCAGAATTCTAATTAATTTGGTACAAATGAATTCATAATAATGTTTGAAGAAACAGTTTTAGAGCAAATTTAAAATACAAATCAATTTCAGTCTTTTTTTTTTCTCAGTGCAATGGGTTAAAGAGTTCAGATGGTCACCTCACCCTCTGCATCATTTATGAAATGCGATTAATCTGAGGCTATTCAGAGGCTTTATCTGATATTATCTGAAGGCTTTAGCAGATCAGAATTAGCTAAAGGTTAAAAACGCTTTAAAAAATTCAGCAGATTTTCATTAGTGAATCTTTCTGCTCCCTGGGCTGCCGGGGGTGGGGGGGTGCACGTCACACTGTCTCTGCTCATTATCAGCAGCCAAAGAGACGCTCTGACAGGTCCGCACTTCTCTTCTCTTGGGTTCAGCCCAACTATTGAACAGCTTAAAAGCGCATAGAATTAATTTACTCAACCCTGTGCATGCATCTCTTAATGCTCTGTTTTAAAAAAGGTTGAGTTGGGTTGCTGTTTTTCTTTCCAAGTTATTATTATTGTTTTATTTTTTTTTTGCTTTTCTTTTAAAAAGAAGAAATTGTTCCAGAACTTCAGCGTTCCTGGAAGGCTTTGCGTAGTCCCCCCGCGCCCCCACTGTGAATTTAGAGGGACGATGAGTGCTCTCATGCAGCTCAGAGACTCACTGCAGCGATTAAGATTAATTGTTCTTTCCCGAAGGAAAAATGAACCAAAGTGCTCCTCTTCTTGGTGATTGATTACTTAAGTTATTCAGACATTTCCCTGGCAACATTAGGTACAACAAAGGAAGGGTTTGAGTTCTTTGAAATTAGTTGCTGAATATTGTAATGTTCACAAACTATTTTGGCTTTGTATGTAAAAAAAGTTAATATGTTATTCATATATTAATATATCCATACCTATTAGTATATACAGTATAGTATGACAATTTTATATTATATAAGTATACTGTACGTAGGGTATAATTTAAAAGGGCAGGTTATTACGTGTTGTACAGCCCGAATCAGACTAATCAGAGGGGAAGCAGACTAAAAAAGTGCATCATCAAGTCATCTTATTTTCACATTTTGCCTAGAAATTTGGTCTATGGGGTATCTGCACACATTCTCCCATAATTTCTGATAATATTATTAGATATTCTGTATCTCTGCTTTTATATTTGACATTATAAGCTATATCTGTATTGGTTTGGCTTGTCACTACACTTAATTTAATTTTGCAAACAAGTCAAGTGTTTTTGTCTTGTGTGCTGGACATTGATATAGGACTGTACCTATGGGACATCTATGTAAGGAAGGACAACATTTGTTGTTGGATTTGGGGGCCGCATGATGCCTTTCTATCTGTCTTTAATTACGTCATAACTTTGTTGTAGTGCTTGCAGTGGCTTGTGTTTAATTAAAAGCATTTTGTTTCCAAATCTGAGCACCAGTGGTCTGGATAATCTGCGTTGCTTAAAAATCTAATATAAATGTAATTAAAAATCAAATTAAGCTAATTAGTGCCAAGTGTAAAGTTGAGTGCTACAATATCAGTCCCAGTGTGCTGATTTGATCATGTTACACCAGTGATAATACTATTCTTCACAAATTAGGACTCTGTTTGCACACACAATTAGCCACAAAATCCTGTAAAAACATTAACATAAAGCATAACATTGTGTTCTAGGCACTAGAAGCTATGACCGTGTTCTGTGTTTTTCTGCTTTATTTTTATCAGTTCTTCTTTTAAATTCCCTGCATAATTGTTTCCACAGACCTATTAAATATTACAGCAGTTCCAGGAGGGAATCAATACAGACTATATTGCTTCAGGCAACCCACTGCTCTCTGCCCAGTGACTTAATCTAATTTTAATCTTGTCTGTCACTCTCCATGTACTGTTGTGACTCATGCATTGTCAATAAATTGCCAATTCTTTCTTTTAAGTGAACGTCTGTTGCTGGCACTGAAAATGTGAATGGGACACTTGTTTGAAAGGGCAATTCATAGTACGGTGTCGAGATTAAACGTCTGGCTCTACTGTGTGAAACAAAATGTTCATTTCATTCATTTTCAAAGTGTCTGCTCTCAGTCCTTCACAGCAGGGGTTCCCCATCCTGGCCGTGAGCTTGTTTCAGTGAATGTAGGTTTATCTTTTGGTTTGGTGCTGTGTGACAGAGGAGCCTGTCACGGGGTACAGATAGCACAGAAAATACAACATTCATACACCTTCCATTGAGTGGTTTCTAGATAAATTCCTGAAGGTGCACACTCAGGGCTTGACTAGTAACTGCTATTACTTAATTTCATATACATTCACGTACATAAACATACCTAATTTCACATACATTCAAATACTTAAACACAGGTATGAGTGAGTATCGTGGTGTGAATGGAGAGCGCTCTCAAAATGGATGTTACTCACTGTTTGTTTGGTGTCAGTACTTCTGGGGTGAGTCAGCCTATAGTGGCCTGAGCAAGGCCAAAGTAGATCCGTTTTTTCCAAACTGGCTCCACCGCAAAAGCACCCAAGCAAACAAGTGCAGTCTATTTACAGTGCTCCCAGTCCCCCACATCAGAAAACAAAACTAATTATCCAAATAAAGGTAAGTCCGCCTTCTTGCTGGAAGGAGCTGAGCAAAGGTCCTGATCGGCAGTTTTGAAACATGATCTCATCTGATTCTGCGGCACACCTGAGACCTTTCTACAGTGCAGCACTTGATGAGGGGTTCCCCGCTGCTTTAACAGCGCTGTCCCACAAAGGTGCCTGAATTAATCCCTGTTGATTTCAGTGTTTTTTTTTTGCAATGTAATAGAAAATGTTATTGTAAGGTTTAACATCTGCATAGAAAATTATCCTTAAAGTATGGATTCATAGTTCATTTTAAATGATCTACTGCTAGATTAAATGATGCAGATTCATGTCCTTTAGAAGTTGTGATCTAGTCTCTGATTTCCTAATCTTTTATCCTGCCCAAGTGTCTGTTATAATAACTACATTATTAGTGTTGCTTTAATAATTTCCCATACTGATGAATGGGTTTGTGCATATATTATTAAATATGTCTGTTTTTCATGTTGTTTTTCTTCTTTCTATAGAGTGAATTGTTTTCTGTGGAAAAAAAAACACTTTTGTTGTTTAATTAAACCCTGCTATCTTGTCGGGAATGGTTACTTTTGGGAACCATCTTCCGTGTGCTCTCCTCAGAGTATATTGTAAGAAACCCACACCATTCCTCCAGCAGAGCCTTATTTGATTTTGATATAGAAAAAAATGAAAACAAATGCTTCATACAGAATGAAGGACTTCTTCCAATCCAGTCAATCTCAGATTTATACTGTATATATTTAAAATTATGTAGTAGCTTGAGTAGAAGTAGGTTTTGGGGATTGGCACTCCTTGTTTTACCATTAGGACAGGATATGTTTTCCTTCACAGGTTTTTGAAGCACCCCTGTATTGCAAAGGCACTCAGCCATGAAACAGGATAGTTGGATTTGCATTCTGGTCGTGGGGAGCAGGCTCTGTGCTGTCTGCCTGGTATTGTTGCTTAAAGAACTGGATGAAAATGCTGGGCTTCTGCCACTGAGTACATCTG